CTGCGACCTGCTGGCGTCTGAATGTTGTGGACCAGCTTGCTATAAGGAGGTGCCGCAGTACCCGGAATGGAACACAGACTTGCGAACGCCGTTATTGAGGCGAACGTCGTGCTGAAAGCAGCCGCGATAAAGCCGGTAAGTTATTGCGTGCAGCGTGACATTTGAAGATTGGCTGTTTTCAAGACGTTTGTAGCTGGCGTTGCTACAAAATACCCTTCACCATGGTCGCCAGTTTATCGCAACAGCAAACAACGACTTCTTCGACTGAGATAGCCAGCCAGTGTCTCACATCCGTGAAATATGAGCCCCGGTGCATAAATCTCCGTATGTGCCGAGTATGAGATCGCCATGAGTGGGCTCTTCTCGGGCAGCGCACCGAGCAATATCCGTCTGAGAGGTCCGCACATGAGCCGAGCCTCGCCCGCCACGGCGTGATTACCCCTGGGCGCCCGGCACCTCACCGTTCTCCGCGATGGACACCACCCCACCCCTGACCTGAGCGCTGCACGCGCCGGCCGCGGCTAGCCACCTCCCCGGGCAGTGGCCGCTCATGCGTGCTACTCCGTCAGCACGGCTGCGGGGCTCGCTGCCAGGGGCCGCAGCGGCAGCCGGCCAGCGCCAGCACTACCTGTGCTCTGCGCTGTCGCAGACGAGCGTCCGCCGACGGCGGTAACTAGCCGCGCAGATCAGCTCCGCCCGAAAATCCCGGCCGACATCGCCATGTGTGGCATGAGTGGTGCCTCCGTCTGTTATACCAGGGCTCAACGACGGTCCGAAAAGTTCAAACGTATTATGACTAAGCCAGCATCAACCGGAGTATGGATGGGGGAGGCTAGCATGGATTTACTGGGAGACGTTATTATGGCAACTTCCCTATCTCTTGAACCATTGAAATGATTTTGCCAATTTTAAGAGCATCAGCAACCCTGGATCATCTGGCGCAGAAAGCGTCGTTTTCAGACCACAACGCCGCTGGCAGTGTCGAGACTCAGATGAAGTCGGGCTGAGAGCTTTAGAAACATTTGTGACCACTCGCTGCCCGAAGGCAAACCGTCAGTCTAAATTCTGCCCACTCCTTATCCCAATAGAACGATAGCCTACTAAGCTACAACTAAGAGCCTACTAAGCTACAGAAGCGTACGCCATGGGGAGAATTTGCATGGCATTACCCACTATGATAGCCATTCACGGTGCAAGAGCTCCCAGGTGGCACGAAGGCATGGGTCGCAAAATAAATGTGTCGCGTGATGATGGGTCTTTCACGGGACAGGTAAAGCAGCTTTTCGCGAGAGGGGAAGGCTACACTGTTTGAGGGGGGGGGGGGGGGGGGGCTAAGACGTGGCGCAGAAGATGCAGCTCCAGATCTTGGCCAATAGCCGCCTCAGCAGTCACGACCATTCTTCGTTCTAGCTCTGTCTGCGACACGACGCATTGTGGTATGACGGACAGCAGGGGAATCAAAGAAAACGAATGAAGAACAACAAACAATGAAGTCAGAATTCCCGAGGAACATCTGCACCAGATCGTAAAAAGCCTCTTGCGAGGCGCCTCAAAAGTCTGGAATTAGCCTCAGAAGTGCCAAGTCGTCCTCCTGCGCAAGCACCTGTCAATCTGGGGTGCTGAAACGGTACGGTCACGATCAGGTCACGGTCTCACGGTCGGTCACGATACGGTCACGATCTCCCGCCTTAGAATACGTTGCTGGCCGCGGTGCTGCTCCCCGGCGGCATGCCTCATACACTGGTAAGATTCTGGAACTCCTGATCGTTCTGGCGAGATGCTGGAACTCCTGATCGTACTAGCGAGATGCTGGAACTCCTGATCGTACTAGCGAGGTGCTGGAACTCCTGCTCGTACTAGCGAGATGCTGGAACTCCTGACCGTACTAGCGAGATGCTGGAACTCCTGACCGTACTAGCGTTCCCAATCCCTCGGGGTCATCCCGCGATGTGCAGACGAAACGGCTCATGTCAATACCCTGTGGGCTCAACTTGCCAGTTTTGGATGCCCAACCGTTCAAAAAAAAAAATCCCTTAGCCACATTTCGGCAATGGACGAAGCCTGTTGTGCCCACCACTTCCTGGAATCAGATGGCATGTTAAGAGCGCCTGGTGGGGTTCGGGGTATATCAATGCTTATCCAGGCTAGTGTTCTCTTGTGTCGACAAACTAATGTCCTGTGCTGTTTTACTCGAACTTGCACGTTCATGTGCATGGCCCGGATTAGCACTAAAACGCACGAGGCATTCACGAAACGAGATCAAGACATTACGTGCATTGCTTGCATCAGTCGATGCTGATTTGCCCGCAGAAAGTGGCAGTAGGCTAATAGTGTGGTCTTACTTTTCACTTCTGCTGAGCACAGTTGGTCATGGGTGAGGTTTCCGAAAATATGTTGCGCTAGTGGGTGAGGACCGAGCAAGGAAGGATTGCTAAAACTATGACCTGCGTCTTCTTTAATCGTTTTCTTCCGAATTTGACTGACTTCCTTTTTAAAATAGTAGGGGGTGGGGGGTGAACCACTTCATTTGAATAGAAAGCTACATAGGGGGGCTGTGGCGCCCCTTTAAAGTATTGGAATAAGCATGCGATATAATAGCATAAGCTCACTTATAACCATGGGCATACTTCTGAGAGGACAAGACTGTTCTACACAACGCAACTTCCCTGTTCAGTAAATATGCTCCTCAAAAGATAATTGTGTGATTACGTCGCAGTATTCCACACCACATTGATTGAGGACCAATTGACGACCATCATATCCGAAAATCGTCCTCACCAACGCCAGATATTAACGACTCGGCAATCTTATTTTTCCTGGTACTAATCGCCGCATGGCTAATGGAGCGACAGAATTTGAATGACATGCCTAATGGTCATGCCAACGTCATGACCATTAGGCATGCCATAAATGCGACATGGATTTATACGTCATGGATGTCTATCAATGCGTCATAAATGCGTCATGAATGCCTGGGTGAAAAATAAAATGGTTCAAAGGATCTCCCCAAAATGGTCCGCACATCATTGTGGGCATGAAGCTCAGGAACTGCCGGGGCTTAGGCCTCAAGAAAGGCAAGACTTTGAACTGCACCAAATGATCTTCAAGATGGCTATTTCAGTGAAAAACTCCATATAAATGTCACATGTCAAATGCGGACGTCAAAATGTGCAACGCTCTCTTTACAGAGAATATCAAAGATTAAAATCTACTGAGGCAAGCATCACGTATGATGGAAAAACCTCACTCGTAACTACCAATTGGTGCGCTTTGATATTGGTGTGCAAATGACTCTTCTAGATAACAAAACCTCACCATTTCGTAGAAATTCTCTCCTCAATACGTTATTGTTTGATTGCGTCATGGAGCGTATTAGGACGTAAGGGTCGCTGCCAGACAGCCCGTTCAGAATTATCACTGTAACGGACGGGCTGACTGACTTGTAGTGCTTAAAATTTAACTGGCCGCAACAAGGTGGGTTTAAGGTGTGAAAACACCGACCACCATTATTTGCGCGTATTTGGAACCGTCCTCATTATGACCTTATATATATTTTTTCCGTGATGACATTTTGTTTCCTGGTTTGCATTTTCGGTTACGGCACTATTGTTAAATTATCCGAATCCAAGCCTCATGTCCGTCATAACGAGCAGAACTCCCCAAATATCTGCACTATGTATGACAAAACGCTGTTGGTCATCGACCTAACGTAAGCTAGCTGAAAGCCAACCGGTGTCCGTTGATACAAGGCGTGCTGCCGCACTTCGGACACGGATAAGTCTGTGGCCCTATTTCCCTTGACCTTGAACACCAGGTCGCCGCGGAGCTGGCGTCGGACCAGGGGCTGCAGGGGGCCCCTGGACCCCTATTACTGAGCCGCTGCGCCTGGGTGCAACTGCTGGCAACTTGACGCATGCCTCGAAGCTCGGCGAGCTGCAGGTGGGGCTTACACTACGCTCTGGGAAATCAGAGGTACGGGGTTCGATTCCCCGCGGTTTCCGCCCTTTATACCGGGGTGGGAGGCAGGTGACGTCATATAGCCTCAGCAGCTGAGTGTGCCGTTAAGTCCTAATGACGACGGCGACGAGCTGCAGATGCCGCCGATGAGCCGGGATGACTCATACACGGCCAGCGGCGCTCGCAGAACGCCGGTAATCAAGGTGTCCCGGCAGACGGTGAACTGGCCCGCGGAAAACCAGAGCAGCCACACGTGCCTGCCCTGGACTTGGCGGATGTTACGCCACATTAGCCGGGCTGCTCGTCGGAACGGACGCCCTGCAGCGGATAGTGCCGTTGGAAGTACGCCAGGGACCTATCGGTGCCCCCAGGCGGTGAAAACCCAGCCTCGATTGGGTAACGGCCGGAAAGCTTTCCGATCGTTACCCACGAGCGCCGTGTGCCATCTGTGAAGGTGGGACCTGAATCCGCGTGACCGGTGACTCGGAGCTGCACGAGCGAAGCGCGAGGATAACGTTCCGAGTCCTTACGGAGTCCTCGCGGAGTCCTTGCGGGCGAAGTACACCCACGCGTCTCGGCGGTCCCAGTAGGATAACGTCGGGCGAGACGCGCCGCGCGGCACTTCTTGGTGCGCCGGCGAGCGCTCCGAGACCGATCCGCTGTGGACGCCACCGACTGTGCCAGTAACTTTGGTAACGTGCCGCCCAGACCCCGCTATGCGTCACCGACTGTGCCAACAACTTAGGTAACGTGTCGCCCAGACCCCGCTATGCGTCACCGACTGTGCCAACAACTTAGGTAACGTGTCGCCCAGACCCCGTTATACGTCACCGACTGTGCCAACAACTTAGGTAACGTGTCGCCCAGACCCCGTTATACGTCACCGACTGTGCCAACAACTTAGGTAACGTGTCGCCCAGACCCCGCTATGCGTCACCGACTGTGCCAACAACTTAGGTAACGTGTCGCCCAGACCCCGTTATACGTCACCGACTGTGCCAACAACTTAGGTAACGTGTCGCCCAGACCCCGCTATGCGTCACCGACTGTGCCAACAACTTAGGTAACGTGTCGCCCAGACCCCGCTATACGTCACCGACTGTGCCAACAACTTAGGTAACGTGTCGCCCAGACCCCGTTATACGTCACCGACTGTGCCAACAACTTAGGTAACGTGTCGCCCAGACCCCGCTATACGTCACCGACTGTGCCAACAACTTAGGTAACGTGTCGCCCAGACCCCGCTATACGTCACCGACTGTGCCAACAACTTAGGTAACGTGTCGCCCAGACCCTGCTATACGGCAGGCGAGCTGGACCAAAGGCGAAGCTGGCGCGGGCGTGCGACGGTACCGTTCGAGGACACATCCATGAAGGTTAGGCGCGTCACCTGCAGCCACCGGAGCGGAGAACGCAACACAAGCATGAGCGGCATCTGCCGCACCACGCCATCGCCAAGACGCAGCCAGAGCGCACCGGACCCCGAGCCGCTCCAGAGCGTCCCAAGTCGAGGCCGTAACAACGTCCCAAGTCGAGGCGGTAACGGCGCCCCAAGTCGGGGCCGCAACAGCGTCCCAAGTCGGGGCCGCAACAGCGTCCCAAGTCGAGGTCGCAACAACGCCCCAAGTCGAGACCGTAACAGCGTCCCAAGTCGGGGCCGCAGCAGCGTCCCAAGTCGGGGCCGCAGCAGCGTCCCAAGTCGGGGCCGCAGCCGAGGCTCGGACGGCACATGGCACCAGGGAGGCACTCCGCTTGACTGAAATCCTGCGGACGACGGCACGGGTCCTCCGCCTTGGCACCAGCTGTCAGACCGTTCGCAGTGAGCACCATACACAGTGGCGCGTCTTCAAACGCCGTGTGCGTACGGTTAAACAATACAAATAACACTGCCGTCCGCTTATGCAATATTTCCGCCAACTCTTGTAACAATGACGTTTGGTTAGGTGCCGTGTGCCCGTCGGATCGTGACATGTCCAGTAGTGCATGAAAATATACATCGTCACTGCGCCAGTAGCCGTCTGTTGTTGCCACCTACCCTTAACCAGGCACGACCACAGTTCCCAAAAACGCATGTCCAAACTCGTTTTAAACACATTTTTCCCGAGCATCACCATTCTGGTAACGCTCAATTTTCCGGGAAAGTGAGAAGAGTGGACCATGTCACACCCGCCCGCTCCCTTCCAGTGGCCATGCCTGTACCGGTGAGCCGCTGCACAGGACCGGCGCCTTGACACGCCACCGCACCGCCACAGCCCTAACATGTACTGCGTTGCTCGTTATATAAGTGATATCTGCCGTGCATGCTGCGCATGCCCTGCATATATATATATATATTATATATATATATATATATATATATATATGTAATAAAGATAGCCAACTACAAATTCAAACAAATCGTGATCGAGAAGGCATACTTTGCACTTTCCATTTCAATTCATTTTCACGGCCTGATTCGATGCCATATCGGCATCGAATGACGTCAAGGTGCTGATAAAAGTAAATAATTTTAGCTGTAAAGTAGCGCTGCGTGGGCCAACTGGAAACGCTATCAGTGGATCTCATCGGCACTGTCCGGTGTATTGGATTTACCCATGGCTTCGGCAGAAGCCTGGCTATCGCATTCAGTGGAGTTACAACAATGCAGTAGCCCTTATCAGCACACGCCAATACGGAACCACCCCGGCCGACGACCTTTGCCAAATCCCTGGTATCGAAAAGGAACGTCTTGCATTTATGCTTTGCATAGATCTGCATCGCTGCGAAACATTAATGTCATCGTTGTTCAGGGGACAGGGTTTTACATCCTCCGCTTCCACTGCCGAAACACGTACGAAACATGTTCTTAATGATATATATATATATATATATATATTGATTTCACCAATTTGATTTCACACACACACATATATATATATATATATATATATATATATATATATATATATATATATATATGTATATATATATATATATATATATCACCTGCCCCATTCTTCGATATCATTATCGGCAAGTAATCAGCAACGAAGGCATGACAATGGCCAGCTTGTTGGTCTGTCTGCATACTAACTTCATCTCATCTCCGTCGCACCATACTGACTTCAAGCCGCTTTCCACCATCAAAAGCCAAGCTATTGGTCCCGTGCGCTGTGCTCGCGCGAATTGCGCCCCCAAATGCCTCTCACAGCGCTGGGGCGATATGACCAGACAATCATGGGGACGCGTGCCCTGGGCGGGATGCTCGTCGACCGGCGCATATGCACGTGCCGGGGGCGCGCTCCGCACTCCACGCCGTCCGGCACCGGCGCGTGCTGCATGCTAACTTTCACTGGATGGCCCTCTGGGTCGGTCGGCCGACGTCAGAAGGCCGACGATCAGTGTCGCGTCCGGGGAGGGCCGGCGATCAGTGTCGCGTCCGGAGAGGGCCGGCGACTAGTATCGCGTCCGGAGAAGGCTGACGATCAGTGTCGCGTCCGGAGAGGGCCGGCGACTAGTATCGCGTCCGGAGAAGGCTGACGATCAGTGCCGCGTCCGGAGAGGGCCGGCGACTAGTATCGCGTCCGGAGAAGGCCGACGATCAGTGTCGCGTCCGGAGAGGGCCGGCGACTAGTATCGCGTCCGGAGAAGGCTGACGATCAGTGTCGCGTCCGGAGAGGGCCGGCGACTAGTATCGCGTCCGGAGAAGGCTGACGATCAGTGCCGCGTCCGGAGAGGGCCGGCGACTAGTATCGCGTCCGGAGAAGGCTGACGATCAGTGTCGCGTCCGGAGAGGGCCGGCGACTAGTATCGCGTCCGGAGAAGGCTGACGATCAGTGTCGCGTCCGGAGAGGGCCGGCGACTAGTATCGCGTCCGGAGAAGGCTGACGATCAGTGTCGCGTCCGGAGAGGGCCGGCGACTAGTATCGCGTCCGGAGAAGGCCGACGATCAGTGTCGCGTCCGGAGAGGGCCGGCGATCAGTGTCGCGTCCGGAGAGGGCCGGCGACTAGTATCGCGTCCGGAGAAGGCTGACGATCAGTGTCGCGTCCGGAGAAGGCCGACGATCAGTGTCGCGTCCGGAGAGGGCCGGCGACTAGTATCGCGTCCGGAGAAGGCTGACGATCAGTGTCGCGTCCGGAGAGGGCCTGCGACTAGTATCGCGTCCGGAGAAGGCTGACGGTCAGTGTCGCGTCCGGAGAGGGCCGGCGACTAGTATCGCGTCCGGAGAAGGCTGACGATCAGTGTCGCGTCCGGAGAGGGCCGGCGACTAGTATCGCGTCCGGAGAAGGCTGACGATCAGTGTCGCGTCCGGAGAAGGCCGACGATCAGTGTCGCGTCCGGAGAGGGCCGACGATCAGTGTCGCGTCCGGAGAAGGCCGACGATCAGTGTCGCGTCCGGAGAGGGCCGGCGCTAATCCGTCCGGAGAAGGCCGACGATCAGTGTCGCGTCCGGAGAGGGCCTGCGACTAGTATCGCGTCCGGAGAAGGCTGACGATCAGTGTCGCGTCCGGAGAAGGCCGACGATCAGTGTCGCGTTCGGAAACGGCCGAGCGATATCGAGGCTATGAGTCCATTCAGAGTTGTTCCTCGAAATTTTGGCACCTTGACAGCCTGCGCTGCAGTGGCGCTCCATGGCCGTCAGTTTCAACCCAACTCGCTCGCCACGAGTTGGGTCATGGACGCAGCACGTGTTCGTGGCAGTCGGGCCGACGAGGGCCGCGCGGCGTACCGGTAATGGGCCAACTTCACTGAAACGAGTGCAAAGTTGCGCAATCTTGATTTGCGATGTTGCAGCGCAAAGGCGTACCAAAATAGCTCAGTATTCCATTGACTGAAAAGGTAGTCGAAATGAAGACACGCACACCGGTGGTCGTCTGGTATCTCTAGCCCTGTCTGTTTCCTTTCATTGCGCATGTCTTGACGGCGGAGAAGAAGGCGCACTTTCAATTAAGTACGGCTTGTGCCGTCTGAGTTGAGTGACATGAGCACGACCGATCTATACAGTGTCGCCGGCACAACACTCCCCGCTCTCGACGTCTGGTTGTCGCAGCTTGTTCTGAGTGAGCATAAGGGCTAGCCGCAGTCATCTCGGACACTTTAAATACGAATCAGCCAACGGCCGCCCTGACGAGGGAAACTTATTGGCAAATAAATCCTTGTTAAAACGAGCCGGCGTGAGTTCAAGCTGCCGGCCACACCCCGCTCCCATCGGATCGGCGGGCCCGAGGCCACGTGGCGGGCGCCCAAGAACCTTCCCTAGCTGACGTCGGCAACAACTTGGGTGCTTTTAAAAGAAACTAAAGACACGCATGCGTTTGCAGCTGCTTTGATTAGGATCTGGCCACGTTGCGAAGACAGCCTTAGGTCACGGGAATCATGACACGAGCATGACGTAAGGAACCAGGTTGGGAGTTCGTGCTTCCATTATCCATGCATCTGACGATGCGGTTGCAATCAGTACTTACAGCTGATCGGTGGTAATGTTAATGCTGTTACTTGGTAGTGACCTGATCCTATTTCCGTCCAGGTCACTGGAAAATGTGGTCATTATCAGTTTGATTCTTCTTGCACACAGCATGCGATCAGGAGTTCAGTTTGACAAGGTGATGACGTCGAATTGGTTTTTTCAATAGGTAATGATAATGCTGCGCCATAACATCTGGTCTGCGTGCATAACACATCTTAAGCACATATGGTGTGCGACCATGAATATACGACTAATGGGATGAGTAAGTTTAGTTTAGTAGTAAGTCCCGCTAACTTTCAACCTTGTTTCCTTGCCCGGAACATTTTATTCCAGTCAGCAGCTTTTAGAGGTCAACCAATCTCGGTCCCTGAATACTGAGATATTCGCGGATGAGTACAAGCATCACATTTGAGCGCAAATAGCACGCTGGCGTAAAGCCAAAAATGGCAATATTTCACACACAAGCTCGTCTTGACCTTGCGCTATTGGCTATAATGCCGTCATAATGGAAGCGCTATCAAGCGCTACCCTGCCTCCCATTTGGTACATAGAAGACAAAATTACTTGACGGAATCATTGCAGCATTATAGTTTGTCATGCTTCGATAAAAAAATCGTCACGAGTACTTCCGGTTTAAGAAGAAAATGAGATGTCAGTCCTTTAAAAGCACGGATGATTAAGTGCTTGCCGCAGGACGAAGGACAGAAGAAGCGTTTTTACCACAAGTTTTCTCCACGCAATTACTTAAATAATGAAGCCTTTGAGCATAACTTCAAATACAAATCTGAACATAAGAATAAACTCAGGAGTACAAAAATCAGTTAACTATAGTGATGGCAATGTAAATCCTGTCGACAGAAAATCCTATGGCTTTCAGCCAAATACATAAAGCGATTAAAGCAATAGCCGCGAGAGACAAACACAGCAGAACGGTGCGGTACAGACGTTTTACAGTACCACCAAATTCTGGTACCTGACGCGAGGCATTTCACTTATATGGGGTCGACCGGGTGGTAAACTAGGAAAGGCCCTGGCAAAAGGAGGGGATGTATGACAAAGGGTCACGTGACAGCTTTTCTCATATTCAACTTGGTCTGATGGGCCTCATCCCTTTGACAATCATCTTTGACGACGATTGATGGCGGACATTGGTGAGCTGGCAAACGAATCTCATTGCGAAGTCTATTTCCAATGGAAGGCAGAGCTTTATCCCCAAAAGACGATGGGTATTGCTACATTTGAACTATCAACCGTGTTTTTCAAAGAAGTCTTCCTTCTAACCAGCTTTAGGAGATGAAACTTTAATGAAATGAAATGAAGTACTCTGGACTTCACTTCTTTTCGTTAATTCAAATGCAAGTTCAATCCTTGCCTACCACGTCGGTTAAAATTTCTACGGATAGTGCTACCCGCCCTCTGTTGTATTACATTTACTGACAACAGAAGCAGCTTCACGAGCCAGACTCAGGGTTCGGGGCTATATCTGTAGTCTGCCCAAGCTTCGTCCCCGGAAATAGATTACAAGAAGATTGGATATTCCTCGGACAGCTTTCATCAGTGGGAAAAGCTAGTGGGGTCATTTGTTCGGAAGGCCAAACCGACGATGACACATGTGACAATATTGTGCGCTCCAGGACGGATTCCGCCGTCAACGTCGGAGCTCTGCCTGACGTGCCCGTCTCTGGAGGACACGGCGGCGATCTCGCGTCAAAGCAGGCCCCGGCCGACTTTCCGCCGAGCCGTCGTCTCACGCTGACCGCACGCGTGACCGCACGCGTGACCGCACGCACGCGTGACCGCACCGCACGCGTGACCGCACGCGTGACCGCACGCGTGACCGCACGCACGCGTGACCGCACGCACGCGTGACCGCACGCACGCGTGACCGCACGCACGCGTGACCGCACGCACGCGTGACCGTGCGACCTGTCGCTGGTCACTTCAGTCGAGGTGTGAACATTGGCGTCCTCCGACGTCACGGAATCATATGACTAATCGTGGTTATGCTCCTCCTTCTGGAACTTGTCGTTGACAAAAAGTCAGGTTTGTTGGCTCGATAAAGCTACCGACAGCAGTCGCCAAGATTTTGCTAACTACTTGAAACATTTATCTCCTGAACGCTTTACGTCCAGATGACTTGTATAGTTATGTCGCATGATGACACAATATAATCAACTTTATCGCAACCTTCGTCACCCTTCAATGCAAACAAGACACTAGGACGCCCATTGCATATCAATTCAACTCATGCAAACAAATACTTTCCCCCTCCGCGAAATCATCGACGTTTTCCGCCCCGGCTGAACTGGCCTGAACCGCGCACGCACGAACGTTCCGGACAGCGGCGGTGGCTGGTGTTCCGCTCACATCATGTGCAGGATGGTACCCGTCTGCAGGCCGGACAGGTCGGGCATGCCCTCCAGACCGGTGCCCACCAGCCGCCTGGAAAGCAGCCAAGGGTCGGCCCGGTCAGCCCGTCATGCTGCCCGACATCTCGCGCCGACAGCTCGCCGACACAGCCACAGGCCGCGGCTCGCGTCGACGGGGCGGTGACAGCCGCCGGGCCCCTGGCGGCCAGCAGTGCTTCCGGCTCACGGCTCGAAACGGCGCCGGTGATCTCGGCCGAGTGCTGTCAGACCACGTAAGCGTCGGCGGCCGGACTCTCGGAAGCTGAGGAGCTGACCTGAGAGCAGCTGACGTGTGCCTCAGAACACATTGACAGGGTCAAGATCAGACTCTGGCCAACTCAGCCCCGCTGATGCTGGTTTCTGGACGGAACGGGTGGCCGCGGCGGAGAGCAGTAGCGTTGACGTCTGTCTCGGCGGCGGTACTCACAGCGAGCAGAGTGCTGGTAGGTCAGCGGTACTCACAGCGAGTAGAGCGGCGGCAGGTCGGCGGTACTCACAGCGAGCAGAGCGGCGGCAGGTCAGCGGCACTCACAGCGAGCGGAGCGGCGGCAGGTGGGCGGTACTCACAGCGAGCGGAGCGGCGGCGGGTCAGCGGTAGTCACAGCGAGCGGAGCAGCGGCAGGTCAGCGGTACTCACAGCGCGGTACTCACAGCGAGCGGAGCGGCGGCAGGTTGGCGGTACTCACAGCGAGCGGAGCGCTGGCAGGTCGGCGGTACTCGCAGCGCGGTATTCACGGCGAGCGGAGCGGCGGCAGGTCAGCGGTACTCACAGCGAGCGGAGCGGCGGCAGGTTGGCGGTACTCACAGCGAGCGGAGCGCTGGCAGGTCGGCGGTACCCGCAGCGCGTACTCACAGCGAGCGGAGCCGGCAGGTTGGCGGTACTCACAGCAAGCAGAGCGGCGGCAGGTCGATGGTACTCACAGCGAGCGGAGCGCCGGCAGGTCGGCGGCACTCACAGCAAGCGGAGGGCTGGCAGGTCGGCGGTACACACAGCGAGCGGAGCGCCGGCAGGTCGGTGGAACTCACAGCGCGGTACTCATAGCGAGCGGAGCGCCGGCAGGTCGGCGGTACTCACAGCGAGTGGAGCGGCAGCAGGTCGGCGGTACTCACAGCGAGCGGAGCGCCGGCAGGTCGTACCATGCTCGCGGGCTGACAGACTCCAGACTGGGCGCGTGTTGGACGTATCTGGAGCGGCCGGCAAGAGCGTCAGATTGCTTCAGCCAACTTCCAACCGTGACTACCACATGGAAACTGCACCCGAAATGAATGAACGGTACCCATGCCACAGCTCGACTACATATCCAGCCTGTGGAACCAGCCCATCCAACCAATCCAACCTTTGAATGTCGCGCCGGGTAAACTGATCGTCTAATCATCCCCATCAACACCGAACCCCGGGACAAGGTCATCACCGACAGCCGTCAATCGTGACACAAGGATCGAACGTCCACCTGCCCCGCGTCAACACGAGTGCAAGGAATAGCGTGCCTGTTACACTCGACTAGCTTCAGCGAGTCTTGTTTTCACTGCCAAACAAAGCAAGGAACTTGGAAGGTGGCATATCACTCAGCATCGAAACTCGGCTTCGCGCCATCGGTCAAACCTTGCTTCGCATTATCAACATTAGCATCGTCTCGGAAACCGTGTCCGCTAGCTGCAAAAGTGACGCTATAAGACCACTTTATAAAACGAGCGACCCGTCCGCAGCATCGAACCGATCACACTGTTTCCAGTCATATGTAACCTAATGGGAAAATTCGCTCACCAACAATTCACGTCTGCACTAAAGCCTTTTTAGCGCTGACCAGCACGGATGGATGGATCATCACTCAACCTGTACCGTTCCTTTAAGTTTTGCGGAAGAAATTTTGCATAGCATGGACCGATCCCAAGTGAGGCTTCTTTTAATTATAGACCTAAGCCGTCGTTTTGGTGTGTTGGGGCACTTTCCCTTCTTATGAAGCTCCAGCTGCTCCAGAATTCCACCGGATGGTTTGAGAGCTATCTGGAGGGCTACACGCAGCGAGTGAGAGTGGGCGGAATGTTTTCTAGTACTTGTCAGGGCTCCTACCTTGTCCCTTTGTTATTCAACATGCCCAGCAATAACCTCGCTTGCCACACACCGCCTGAAATCAACGACTCCCGTGTAACGGTAGCCCGTTACGCTGAGGACAGACAGCTCGTCGTCACATGACCACGGATGAGGCAGTCAGGTCTGCGTTAGTCCTTGGAGACAGTCCTGGACATAATGCAAAGACACATGGTTTCTCCAGCATGCATAGCGGTCGACACTGCGAGACGAAACATTTACTCTGACGACATATTTACTCGACGAAGCATTTGTTATGTGGAGACAAGTGCCAGCTCAACCAGACCCGTCCATCACCCACCGTCGTGCATATAGAGATGTCTCTTCGATGCCCAGATAATGTGAACAATTTGGGTGTGGCCATGGATCGCGCATCGCCCTGGGAACTGCGCGTAAGCCACGTCACTTGGCGGTCATTTGGCACTATTGCCGCTCTCCTAAATGTCAAACCCGTGTTGCCTGCCAATGTTCTGCATCATTGACGCGTTTCTCTTCCCCATGGCCGTTGCCCTCAGGTTTATCGGAGCTTGCACAGCACGACTGTTGCCAATTTGCAGACAGCGTTGAACTTCGCAGCTGGCGTG